ATGAATATTTTCTTACGTACGGGCATTCCCCACCACCAGACGATACTTAAGTAGAATTTCTTGAAATTAAATAATTTTCGAAAAAATAAATTAAAAGTGTAACAATAAAAATCAAATAAGTATTGGAAAATCAACACATTCATTAACAAAAACTTTTCGAACTAAAAATGTCATTACTGTATACTCTTTAGCATTTTTCAAAAAAAAAAAAAAATTCGAAAAAAAAGTTCATATTAGTTTCTGTGTGTCGGTCAATTCTTCCGTGAACATATTTAAAAAATTTCTACACCCTTGAAAATAGAAAACTGGAATTTCATAAGTATATAGATTTTTATACTCCCAGACGATAATTTTAATAATTTTATATTAATTTTAGATTATAATAAAAAGTTTATTTTGTTAGAAAAACAATTTTTCATCTGTACACCGTCTTAAATTTTCGGTTCTAGAAATTTGAAAAATTTAAATTTTTGGCACCAAAAATTTTCCGATACTGCAATTTTTTCCAAATTATTATAAATATGCAGAAATCTAACGATGTATGCCATGCTGTAAAAATAATATTTTTTTTCTTAACACACGCAAATAACCTTTGAATTCGAGCATTATGTTAATGCCTCTTTGAATTTTTTTTTGTCTCATCCTAAATATATGCAATTTTTTTGTATATGAATGAAAGTAATTTTAACAAGATTATTTTTAAAAACAGTATTTGCACTTGTGGAAACGAAAAGTGCTACATTACAAACCATTGATTTGACCTAACTTTATTTTCATTATCCACCATTTTTTTTTCATTATTATTTCTGCAAATATTACGGAAATTTATGTTAAGAAAGATGCTATGAAATTTATTTTTAATTCGGTCACTTACTTTTTATGCTTTTTATAATCGTATACTTTATGTTTTATTATTATTATTGTTATTATTTTTATCATTTCATTTTTGGCCATTAGCCAATATAGTTCGTTTTAAATACTAAAGCGACCGAACAACTGAACTAGAGCAGTGAAAATATGACAAAGTGTGTTTTGTTTTTTTCCATTATCTATCTGTTTTCCTTTATTGTTTTAATCATTTCTTGTCTCAGTATTTTCGCAATGGAGCAATTTTACTTAAATACCTATTATATAATGTGCCTAAATATAAATTTTTACAAATATACCAACATGTATGTACATATCTATTTCTTGGTTTTTATATATTATTTGATTTGAGAATATTTATTTGTTCTTCATTTTACTTTATTATTTGGCGTTTTGTTTTCTCATTTTATATTTCTTTAATATTGGCTTTATTTTTATAGATCCTTGGTTGGAGAAAAGACAAATAAGGGGGAAAAAAATGAAAAGAATTTCCAGGTCTATTAATTTCAATTGAATTATGAAAGTGACATTGATTAATTTTATGTCCCAATTTTAGGATAAAATTACGAAAAAAAAAGGAAAAATAAAAAATTAAGGAAAATAATGAAATTAAATATAAATATGTATTTTGTATGTATGTTTTTTTTATGTGGAATGTACGCACATACATATGTATATATTAATGAATAAATAATAAAATATAAAATTACTTTATTTTATTGTACAAAATCGAAATTTTAATCTTTGAAAAATTGCTCAATTAATTTTAAAAAATAAAATCATTGATTCCAGCTAATATTAAAGAATTGTACAATGGACATTCACAATGAATTTATACATAATTAAAAAATTAGGTTACGACTAATTTCAGATACCAATTTCAATTTCGAAAAGAAATTTTATATTAATTTTATATAAATTCTTCGATGTTACATAAAATTTCTCAAAAATTTTTACAAATTCTCATAAAAATTTTAAATCATAGCGGAAAAAACAAACAATCATTTCTCTCACACTACAGCAACCATTGTAAATATTGAACCAGTTAACATCTACGATTTTATTTTGAGGACGGAAAATTTTCAACTTTTTGCGAAATTACTCAAAGAGAGATACAATCAAAGACACTTAGTATATTGAATTTTCCTATAGCGAGTTTTTGCGAAAAATTACTGTATATTATGTAAACTGCATAATATGTACATATACTGTATATACTCGTATATATGTAATATATACGAATAATATTGTCTGAAAACAAAGCCAAATAAATTATGAAAATATTGCCAAAAAATAATTTTTCACTTTAAATAATTTTTTTTATTAATAATTATTTTATTAAATTGATATTTGTGGTATTTACTGCACAGTAACCTTTAAAAAAACAATTATATTATTAATTAATTAATTTTAATTATCTTTAAAACTTATACCATTACGAAAATTTAATATATTAAATTTTTTGAAGATAATAAATTATAACAAAATATTTTAATTAAATTATTTCAAAATAATTAATAATTTAATTAAAATAAAAATTTTATTTACATTTTTTTTATTTTTGTACATACAAAATCTATTCTTCAATTGGCATTACAATCTAATATAGATCTAACAAAATAATATATTATGTAAAGTACGCATGAAAAGTGAAAATATTTCATATTATATATAGATTCGAATTATAAAATTAATTCATATATGATAGATTAAATTGATATCGTAAATTGAAAAATAGAAAATAAAATTTGTGTTGCCGATTCTAAAATTTGAATATCTGTGTCATTTGACGTCATTATTCCAGAATATTTTAATAAAGGTTGAAGTTCAATATTTTGAAATTGAAAAAGACAATGAAATTTTAACCTACTACCTATTAAAGTATGGTCGACTCAAATAGATTTTCTCACAAGATTCACAAGTTTCTAAAGAAAAGCCCAACAAAATTTCAAATTGAATTGATTATTGTAGCATTCCAAAATAATATTTCATATTTATAAACTGTTTACAGTTCATAATTTTCAAGTTTTTTATACTTTTACAAACTACCCATTCAAGTCTTTCATACTTTTCAGAAAGTAGTCCAGAAGAGAACACGAATGTAGATAAAGGCGAAGTTGCGTACAATACAAATTGAAAGAGATTTTCCACTCTCTTTTATACAAAAATATGTTTTACATTTCTGAATTTAAATACAGCGGGCTTTTTAATTGAATATGTGTGAGAAATAATGGAAACTTTCAATTTCAGTGGCTATCTTTTATAATGGTTTACCTACAATAATATTTTTGTTCCCATAAATTATGTATGTAGATATTTTAAATATCTATACATATGAAAATTTACGCATATCCTTTACGGTAATGTTAAAATTTATTTTATGCAGTAAATTTTATTTAAAAATGTTGCAACAAGAATTCATGGTCCTTAATTATCTTGTAAAGAATAGTTTGTATTTAAGATTATAACAGGATAACTTGATAATTTTTTTTTCTTTGGAAAAAGATGTGAAAAAAAAACTGGTATACGCATAATATCATACCAATATATTCATGCTAATATAAAAATATTGAAATAAATGTAACACGGTATACAATATAAGCACTATACATAAATATGTTTGGAGTGTGCAGGAGAAAAATATTAAGAGAAAAATATAAAACCAAATTGACTGGAAAATTAGGTTAATTGGCAAAACTTAAAAGTAAATTATATAAAAAAAAAATTATTTTTTTTTTCTTGTATCCTAAGTATCCTTGTTTCGATATTTTATAATTTTTGTCGACTTTTTTGTTTTTTTTTTGTTATTTTTATTTCAATGAAAATATCTTTGGAATTTGTTTTTTTTTTTGACCTTACCAAAAACTTGTTTTATTAGATTTTGTAGAAGGAAAAAACGTGTACAAAGTATTTTTCCATTTTAGTTATTTAGTATCCAAGATGTATTTAAATTAGAAAATTTTGTTATAAAACTTTTATTCTATCACATTTTTAAAAGTTATTTTGTTTTTCTCTTGAACAACCCTTAGAAAACAGATGTTGACTAATTAGGATATAAGAGTGTGAGAGCATAGAAAAAAAAAATTTTGAAAAGTTTAAATTGGGTTAAGTTGAATAAAAATTATTTTGTAAAATTTTTATATCATTCGTTAGCGATCAGGCTTTGTTATAATAGCTTTTGCTTTGAGTTATGAAGAATATCAGAAAACTTAGCATAAATTAAGTAATCAAATGAAGTAAATTTAATCACTCAATCTCACAAATGTACTCATAATATATTCCTGCTTAAAATAAATAATATAGAATTGTTTTAGTCGTGGCTGTTCGTTCATTCGATAACACAATAACACAAAACCGAAAAAAGCAAAAACACTACCGAAATATCAGAAATTGTTTCGTTTCTGATAAGAGCGGCTTCTATTACAATTGAACCAAATTGAAACAACAGATTCAGGTACCGGGAGTGAAACTCAAAAAGATTATTTAAGAAGATATTAATGAAAAAATTTGTACGCTTATACAAAACTACAATACAATATTAAATCCTGAATTTTATATTGACTGTTTTTACTTACATATTTTGATAATAATGACTCCGAGTTCTGAGGAAGGAAAATATCCTTCATATTTTAATTACTTTAATTATTGTTTCGCATTAAAAGTTTATTCAGAAGGGGACCGCGTTGGAATCTTTTCGGTTTTCTTTTTCTTTTGCTTGGATTTTTATTTTTGATGAATTCGAAATAATTTTTAAATTGATTTCTTTTAATCCTGTTATAACATTTTATTAATTTTAATTTAATAAGGAAGAAACCCTTTATTTTTCTTTTTTTGCTTCAAGCAAATGAAAGTGAAATAATGACATGAATGATCCAAAATTTTCTTTTTTTTTCTGAATTAATTTAATTTTATTTTTTCGTGGTTAAAATTTTTTTTAATCATTTTAGAATATTAAAGTCAAAAATTTAAATTCTTACTAATTTTAGATTATAAAAAATTTTTAAAACCTGAGCAAGCCGATTTTATTAGTGTACAGATTATGTCATTACTTCAATATAGAATTCATAAATTCAAAAAATATTTAATTCTTTTTTATAATTAACAAAATTAATAATTAATACTTTTATTTTCAGGTTAAATCCAGAAAAGAACACATTCGACTCTCGAAAATTCCCAATATAAATGGGCACAAAATGAAATCAATAATTTTTGTTATGGAATTTGATTTTTTTAAACGCTTATTGAACGCTTTAATTAAACAATTTTGTTGATTTGAAAAACAATATCATTCAACTATATATTAGAGCGGTGATATCTAAACTATAAACTGGAATTATGTTGGAGAATTTAAATTTAATAGAAACAATTATTAGTTCTGAAAATTCAAGTATACAAAATATTAAAAAATCTCATCTTAAACGTAAAATAGACAAAAAATTTCTATTAAGACAAATTGACGTAATGAAAACAAGAAGAAACTCTCCAAATCAAAATAGCATTGACATAGAATATCATATAAATAATAAAAATAAGGATAACAATAATGATACTGTAGATATGCGATCACAATTTCAATCACAATGTGATGATAACAGTAGGAATGAAAATAAATTTAGAAAAGAAATACTACCAAACGCAGAAATATTTCAAACAAGATTTGTAACTATGCCAAAACAAGTGGAAACAACTGATATTATTGATATAGGAATAAAGGAAAGGAAACAAAATGATAAATTTAATAAAAAGAGAAATCGAATTTTAACAGATGAAATAACAACATCAAGAAGATGGGCCATAAAGCATCTGTTAACGATTTTAGTGATATTTGTGTATAATACTATGAACCTGTGTAATGGTAAGTTTTGTATGAGTACCGTTATATAATATACAGTCGAAATATTAAAATCATTTAATGTACATTATAATATGTAATGTATATTAAATAATTTGTGCTACAAACTGACTCAATATTTATTATGGTATAAGTTTTAAAGGAACACAAATTTTCTTGTAAATTATTTCAAAGTATAAAAGTCTCATATTATAAAAATATATTCCCTTTGACATAAATTCTTTATAAAATATCTAAAAATTGCTAATTCTTTAGAACTTTTTCAAAAATATTGCAATACAAATTAGTTGGGTATATAAAATAAAATTTATTGCTGTACATTACAATATAAGTATAACATTAATAGAGTTCTCTTTTCATAACAAAGCCGCTGGTAGATTTTATAATGTAGCTTACTTTATTAAAATTTTAAGGAAGACAGCTAATGGAAAAACTATAATATTAATTCTAAAACCTTATATTTGACAAGACGTCGTAAAATTTTGAACTAGCGCCTTCTTTATATTGGGAACACAAAAATATCCTTCCTTTTTTAAAATTTTTGAAAATTTTAAATAGATAATTTCAATTTGTAATTAAACGGCCGAAAGAAAAATTCTGATATAGGTGAAAGAGAGTGAAAAACGAGTATATGCCATTGATTCCATAAATGAAAAAATTATAAATTAAAAATTTTCTGTACCAAAGAAAGTTGTGATAAGGCAAAACTCACAAAGAAATCTGATGTTTAAAAAATCTGCCTATTGCAGTGTAAAAAAACGATTGCTTTACAAAATAACATGCATACATACTTTTATTAAAATTTTACAATTTATAATTTATTTTATTGGATATATTAAGGCCTTTTCCGCTTATGTTAAATTATTATTTAAATTTTCTTTATACACATACATAAATGAAATTCTACTTACTGTAAATGAAAAATTTAAAACAGAACTCGTTTTGTAAAAGAAAAAAAAAAATTTCTGTTTTTTTAATTTTTTGTGTTTGATACTCGTAACAACCTCTCGTGTGACTTTGATTTTCCTTTCATTATTTCATTTTCGCGCCCTCTACATTTTTGAAAGCTATTTCGCGCGCTTCATAAAAGATCAACACTTTCAAAAATAAGCCAGCTCGTTTTTTCACTTATTTTAAGTTTTTGTTTTGTTGCTCATTTTACAATTTTTATATACGTATGTATGTATGTGTACATACATATTATAATATTTACACGTACCTACAGAATATTTTAACAATAATAAATGTTTGTATATTTGTTTTTTTTTTTTTTGCGCTATGAAAGTCAAGTTTTTTCTGTATTATTGTATGGTTGGTTAGTGAAAGAAAAAACAATTACAGTAAGTGTGGCAAAATAGTTGTCACAAAGAGTAGAAATACACAAAAAAAAAAAAAATTATTAACATGAAAACAGAACAACAACGGCAATAAACAACTTTAAAGATGTGAAACCATAAAATGTGGAATTCATTTTTATTTAAATAAATTGCTTTGTGAAAATAAATACTGAAAATAACTTGAAAAATAAATGGGTATAGAGAACAAGCATTTTACATTGAATCAAGTAGAAAACAAAAAAGTTAAATGCATAGCTTTTAGGCAGATGTTATGTAATAAAATTAAAATTATGTTTACTGTACGTTCATAATGTAGACATGTTTAAAAAGTCAAACCCACTTCCCACTTAAATGTCTCAAAACTGTACATGTACTGTATAATATGGCATCTAGCGGTATCACAACGGGCCGAATTAAACTTAGTGTATCCTCTAATAATATTGGCAACTTCTAGTGAAAAACTTTAATGGAATTAGTAAATATTGTTGACATTATTAATATTTGACTAATATGAGGTACGGCACATAGGTGATATTATTTTTCGGAATTAAAAAGAGTATTTGTATACGCTTAATAAAATTTTGTTAGTCATTACGTTCGTATTATAATACGTGTCAGTAATAATATTTCAAATAACAGAAAAAGGATTAATTCCAGTTAAAACTATGGGTGAAAATATACGTAAAATATTTTTCTCTTTTGTTACACTTCGTATATACTTAATTTGAAAGGCAAAACAGAAAATGAAAAATAAAACATTATTTTTTATTTTACAAAATTAATTGCCAAATATATTATTATTGTATAAATTGTAAATGGAATTGTGTACCTACATTTACATATATGTACAAGAGAACTTTTAAGGCTTTTAGTCGTATTCGCATAGAGTACAATTTTATAAATAAAAATTCTAACTTTATATTCTCTCCCATATTATTTCAAAGTTATTATACTTAAATCGAATAAAATAGTAACAATACAATAAAATTTTCATGTTAAAACTTATAGTTAATTAGCTTTAACATTTAAATTAATTAAATAATTATACATTCATAGCTTCCTTAAATATAAATTAAAAATTTTTTAAAAGTGAATTGAACACAACAGCCGCTACATTTAAATTCACTTTTATACGACTTTAATTATAAATTGAAAGTTCTTAGAAATTTTCAGAATTTTTTTTTATAGAAATTGAATTTGATAATGAAAATTTAAATGTTAAAGAGAAAAATTAGTATTCAAATGAAATCTCTTATTCTTATAACGTAAATTTCTTATAACCCAATTTGATTTCATTTTAATTTAGAAAATTTCATTTCTCTTACTAAGGGCACAGACAGACATATAATTTTTAGTTTTGCAATGGCTACTTGATTGTCGAAATATTGCGCTAACATCTAATCAACTAAACTATTGCACGAATTCAAATTACAATCAGTTCGCAAACAATTGCAAACTGTTTGATTACTTAGTTGCATGCGATTATACTGTTGCATTTGTACGGGCTTGAACAATAACCCATGGAATACAAATAAGCAGTCAAACCGTTGCAAAACTAAAAATTGAAATATAGATAATAATGAATAAATATTTATAGGCCTACATTGTTTAAAAATATTTTATTAAGCCATGGGCAGTTTGTATAACAAATTGAAAAGAACCACGTGTGTGTACTGACACCAATTACTGTTCTTAGATAATACACAAAGGTTTCTACATTTTATGTTCTTAATAATTTTATCAGAATACTGGAACGTATTTTGTTGTATTGTTAAGACTGTTCTGATCCTCAATTTACCCTGTTTTTGTTTACATTCAAAATACAATTGATATCAAAATTTGTTAAATAGCATGTCTGATACAATTCGACTACTCGACAATTTGGCGTTGAATTATATTTGAAATATTTTATTTTTTTTTATAAATTTTTGGAAAAGTGTTTAGTGCATTTCTTTTAAATATTGCAACAGCTCCGTTTATTTTTATATAAAACCTACTCGGTTTGGATCGTGCAATACAGAATACAAAGAAAAACTAAAATGTTCGGCATTGACTACTGCCTAGTTACATAAAACTCATTTTACAAACCACTTTCAAGTATATTCTTTCTAATTATTTCAAAGTACATAAAATTAATATTATTAGTAAATTTTTTAAGTAAATTTAATACACATTTCTTTTATAATGTAAACGTCGAAAGTAACGGAATATAAAAACAATATATCTACTTACATTATAACAAATTTTATAGGAATTTAATTCCACCATATAAGCACACTACTCTAGATATTTCCATCAAATAAATTATTTTTCAAGAACATATCGTAAAATGAGGTATACAAACATAAATATGTTAAAATTCTCTAAGTTTTGTAATATAATACGTAGGTAATGTAATCATTATGTATGTATGTATATATTTAATAATTATTTCATATTAATTTATGTATATTAAATGTTAAAAAGTTGTAAAGTAGTTTTTATTAAAAAATAATACTTACACAATAATTTGTTATTAAATAAAAGCTAATAATATACGAAAATTGAAAAGTAAAGGTAAAATTCCTATCTTTTAAAATATATACGCGATAAAATTGGAATGAAAGATGTTTCCTTGAAAGCAGATAAAATTTAAAATTTTAGAAGATATATTTGTGCTACTACCTACACAGCTACATATAAATACTCTACTGTAATATAAAAAGAAAATTTTTGTAAGCCTTGTATCTTAAAGCATATAAACTTTTATGTAAACATTATATACCATTAATTCGTATTTTACATATTGTATACATGTATAATATGTAAACATATATGTATATATACTTATTATCCTTTTAAATATTTTATAATATGAGAGGAATATAAATTATATTTCTTCTATAATCGCTTGTTCTACTTAAACCTCATAGTTTCGTAATTAATTTAATATTTTTCAACGTTTTTTTTTCTCTCATATTACATAAATTAAGTACATATAGAAAATAGTTGAAAAGAAAAATCCACAAATGCGCCATCTGTTGTTATTTAACAAATAAATTGAATTCATAATTCACTATTTTAAAATTGCGATGTTATACATGTAAATACATATATACATACATACAAATATATATGTATTTTTGTTTGATTTTCTCTTTTAAAAATATCACTTAAATTTATAAATGTTTAGATCTAAAATATTTGAAAAATATATGTAGATATTTTATGACAAAGACATGAGAAGATAAGAAGAGAATTTTAATTAAATAATGTTTAACATACTTGAATGAATAAAAGCGTTATATCGCGTATACCAAACCGCTACTATAAATTATAGACATGTATACATACATATTGTATTTGGATTAAAACCAAATATAATTTTTTTAGTGGCAATTTTTCGTATATTTTTCCATATCTTATTGAAATATTTATAGAATATGAAATATAGCAAGTTGAAGAGTTTTCCTTTCCCCAAAGGAAACTATTGAAAAGAGTACAGTAATTATTAAGTAATTATATAAAATTTTAAAGACTTTCAAGCTAATATTCAAAAAATTTCAAAATTATAAAAATTCATCTAAAAATTTAAATTATTAAAGTATTGTTTTCTGTGATTTTCATTTTACAAACTCATTTTAAATGCATATGTTAATTACTGAGAATTCAAAGTAAAATTTGATT